TGAAATGATGTTGGGTTGAAATGATGTTGGGTTGAAATGATGTTGGGTTGAAATGATGTTGGGTTGAAATGATGTTGGGTTGAAATGATGTTGGGTTGAAATGATGTTGGGTTGAAATGATGTTGGGTTGAAATGATGTTGGGGTGTGCACGTCTAAATAACCACACTTCGTTTTTCTTGGTGGTTTTGACGCCGGCAGCCAACGATTATGATAAATTGCCATGGACACTGATGTCCGTTCTACTGAAATACATCAAAAGAATGTGCGCTACTTTTGTGCGCCCCGTCAATAAATCATGTAGACTCAAATGTTTTAACGCTGGAGAACTCGGGTTCCTAATGCGCTTCGTTTTCACTTCTGAGCAAAGGAGTTCATTGAAGCGAGACCTCTCCTGGAACTCGTGTGTCGGCAGTTAAAAATAGAATCACTAGGAGTTCAGTTCCTTTACAATTCCTGTCTCTTGGAGTTTCGAAGTCTGTGGGCGCAGAAGAGCGTCTCTTTAAACGGAATGACATACGAATCGATCAACAGCAACAGACTTAGCATTGGATCTACTCAGTTTCTTTTTCGATTTGTTCTATTTCTTAGGAAAAACAGATACGTTGGGGACTTGTGGGTATAGAAAGTAAGATTGTCACAGTCGTAGTTAGTCCAATATTTCTTTTAGATTAAATTTGACTCTGTGAATCTGGAAGGAAAGGAAGGGTAATGCGAGAGCAGGAAAGGGTAATAAGGGAAAACCTCTCTAAAAGTTGCCCGAATGGGTAACAAGGAGGTCTCTAAAAGTTGCCAGAATGGGTGATAAAGGGGTCTCTAAAAGTTGCCAGAATGGGTGATAAAGGGGTCTCTAAAAGTTGCCAGAATGGGTGATAAAGGGGTCTCTAAAAGTTGCCAGAAAGGGTAATAAGGGGGTCACTAAAAGTTGCTAGAAAGGGTAATAGAAGGTCTCTACAAATTGCGATAAAGGGAAATAGATGGTCTCTAAAAGTTGCGATAAAGGGTAATAGAGGGTCTCTAAAAGTTGCGATAAAGGGTAATAGAGTGTCTAAAGGGTAATAGAGGGTCTCTAAAAGTTGCGATAAAGGGTAATAGAGGGTCTCTAAAAGTTGCGATAAAGGGTAATAGAGGGTCTCTAAAAGTTGCGATAAAGGGTAATAGAGGGTCTCTAAAAGTTGCGAGAAAAGATAATAGGCGGTCTCTTAAAGTTATCATAAAAACATAACATAACACTACAAAGAGTTTTTAGGTCCTCGATGAGAATTGAATATAAAATGGTATCGAAGAGTTATTTAACTTTGATCTTGTTAAAATAACAAGCTTTAATTAAACGATACATTGAAATATTAGATATGAAAATAAGATAGAAATAACATTTGAGCAAACAAAATGGTGCGTGTAGTCAGTGGCGTAGCTAGGGTTGGTGTCACCCGGTACGGTAAACTCATGGCGTCACCCCCCCCCCCCAAACTTCTATGATCGATTTTTTCTTGTTAAAATAAGTCCACAGTATGGCATCAACCTTGAACTTTTAATAAAGCACGCATTTGGATTGGTTACATTTGTGAAAAATATATGTGTGATCGGTTATTCTTTTATGAATCTCGATTTTTGACGGCATTGTGTGCCCTGTAAATATGCAATTTTTCAATCGGGGTGTCACCCCTAAAATCGTGTCACCCGGTGCGGTCCGCACCCCCCGCACCTGCCTCGCTACGCCACTGCGTGCAGTAAAACTCTCACGTTGTTATTGTTCTAACACCAAAAAATTAAATTTATAATTTTAATTTATTATAAAAAATTGCTATTTCATAATTTTCTATCATCCAGGATATTTGCCAAACACATCCATCATATGGAGGTTCATTGGCTCTTTTATTCATTTTCTTCCCGAAGCGTTTGAGACCCGCTCGTACACGAGAAAAAAATTATGCTTGGGTATATAGTCCAGTGGTCGACAAACGCATTAATAAAAGGAGCCAAAAATCAGCAACAGGACGATTAAAAAAAAAAAATTTTGAGATCCAAATATCTTTTCAAAAACCTGTCAAGAACCAAGTTTTTCGGAGTCAATACCGATTTGTGGCCGACTGACCAAGCCGCACACATGAAACTATCCCAGTATGGGGTCATAAAACTATCCCAGTATGGGGTCATGAAACTATCCCAGTATGGGGTCATGAAACTATCCCAGTGTAGGGGTCATGAAACTATCCCAGTATGGGGTCATGAAACTATCCCAGTATGGGGTCATGAAACTATCCCAGAATGGGGTCATGAAACTATCCCAGTATGGGGTCATAAAACTATCCCAGTATGGGGGTCATGAAACTATCCCAGTATGGGGTTCATGAAACTATCTCAGTATGGGGTCATGAAACTATCCCAGTATGGGGTCATGAAACTATCCCAGTATGGGGTCATGAAACTATCTCAGTATGGGGGTCACACACAAACACCATCAAACAGGAACAGTAAATAAATCAACAGCACCCAAAACATAACACAAAAAAAATTGATTTATTTTGGAATGACATAATATGTACATAACACATTTTCATTCAAGGCATTTTTTTCAATAATTAAACGTAAGTATCTCCTACACCTCATTAAAGTATCAAGCTTACGTACAGTACACATGACGTGGTCGCTCAGATTGTGTCAGTGGTCACTCAGAATGTGTTGTCACAAAAATTCAAAAGCTTAAATGCATCATCAAAATATTTTCTAATGATCAAAATCAACATGTTTAAAAATTACCTTTATAATAATAATAATAATAATAACAACACAATTTGTCCAACTCCATTGTTAAGAAGTGTTATCAGTGATTTCCGTATTTTACGGACTATAAGACGCACTTATTCTAATAATTTCCTTCAAAATTCATGTGCGTCTTATACTCTAAATTAATATAAAAATGGTAAAAATATATATATATTTTTTTTGAAATTGCATAAAAATTAAGGTGCGTCATATAGTCCGTAAAATATGGTACCAGTGATATGCAAATAAAATTTAGTACTGGTATTAAAAAAAAACACATGGTTGACCAATAGCATATCAGGAAAACTGACCAGTCCTTAATTGTTGGTACCTCGACGCATAAAAAATGTTTTTACTGAACAGACCCATGGACGAGCCATACAACTAAAACCTTAAACTAAAACATGTTTACACTGATCCAACTTTTGGTTGAAATAGAATTATGATTAGACCCCTTTGCCCCTAGGGAATAGTAGACTACTGGATCAACTACTCAGGTACACAGCCGAGTATTTTACTTAGAGTCTACATCATAGGGCGGTAGACATTGCTGGATATAATGTCTGCGTGAGAGCACGTATATTCATTTCAAGTCAACTGAATACAAATGTTACGCAGATTTTTCTCACACAATTGTTGCTTTTTAAAAATGTATATTCTCATACTTCCATTTCAACCCTCGACTTTTACTCATGGCTCTTTCCGCCTAGACTTAAGGGGGGGTTGGACTTCTGACTGCTTGTGTTCAATGGTCAGCTGGTCAGAAATAATCCTACATATTGTTCACAGGACTAGGAGCGATTTCCTCATGAGCAATATGAACATGAACGATAATTTAAACGGTTCATAATGAACAAATGAACAGCATCTTAAGTTCATTTTGTGTAATAAATGAGAATTTTATTTTGATGAGTCGGGTGAGCATTCTAGCAACAACAAAAACTGTTGGGATGTTATCTTGAAATCGTTTTTATATACACCATGCATATTTATACAAACTCACAAGGCCATGTTACGGCCCTCGATACTTATGGTCACAGCCTTCATCGTTTTGGAGAATTTCTTTCTCTCCATAAACGCCCGCTTGTGTTTCTCGTAGCGGCCAATATCTTTTTTAGAGGAACTCTGCAGACAAAATAGTAAAGAAATTTGAAAGGGAAAAAAAATAATGACAAAATTTTTAATTATTGCCTGCTTATGAAAAATGTTTTCACCTCTGGTGTTAATGTGAGAATCTTTTTTTTAAACTTAAGCTATGAACTTTTTTTAGGTCAGGAAAACACAACCATAGGTATGTGGCCTATTAGTTATGAACTGGAGAGCACTCCAAATTGAATCCAAAACACCCTGCTCGCACTCTGTGAAAAATTGTCTTCCCTTCCACAAAACCAGTCCCTGGTGCCATAAAGCCCGGGGCCCCCACCGACTTACGATGATGTTCCCATTAAAAAAACAATAACTCACCTTCTGAGGAGGCTGATATTCTGAGCTGGCCTTGGGTCTTACGACGTAATCTTTGTTTGACGGGAGGGGGACACGTGCACGGTACACCCAGCCTGGATCACCGGGACGTAGAGCTCTGTCAAGAAAAGTAGAGATGGTACCATGTTTGGCAAGGGAAAACATACAACTGAAAACATAGAACTGCTCTAAACCCCGCTATGCAACTGACCAGAATACAAATTTCAATAGGGTGAGAGATATTTTTGAACCTCAATGAATGAAAACTTCTAAGAGGCAGCTTGAGTGATAACATAAAGTGTTGCTATTGTTTCCCCACGTAATGTATGTAAAAATTGAACTTTGATTCCTGACTACCAATATATTCCTTTAATTTATTTCTTGAAAAATTCCACAATAGCTTTGTGATTGTTGATCATATTTTTAAAAAGTTATAATTATTTTGTTCTATTTCTTTTCATTCAGATGGGAAGTAATATTGCCGAAACGATTGCTTGCTCATCTGCATGTTGTCAGTGTGGCTGGTGATGAGCCAAGCTTATCCCAGGCACTATAATTCTGTGTAGTAATATGCCAGGACCTGGATTCAGCGCAGGAATATGTCACGTGTCTCTTACTTCAGATGGTGACAATTACGAAAAGTGCAGAGGTATACACAGAAGAAAAATATAAAAATATGTTACGTTCTGCTCTGTTCTGTTTGGCAGGGCTTCAGGTGTGTACACGAGATACATGTTCCAGATTTACCGCAAAATTACATCTGTCTTGCCTCTCTGGGAAGGGTCTGTTACAGAGGGCCATGTTCTGCGGTGGTCACTTTGATGAGTATCGGGTGCTGGGTGAATAATTTTGTTTTACCAAACTAATGGCCAGGGTGATTGACAGGGCCTCGGACTGGGTGCTTGACAAGGCCCCGGGCTGGGTGACTGACAGGGCCTCGGACTGGGTGTTTGACAGGGCTTCGGACTGGGTGATTGACAAGGCCTCGGACTACCCAATTCATTTTAGAAGAATGATTACCCATTAAGCTTTGCCTTTAGATGACAATCATCAAATCACATGGATTGATCAGACGCTGCACTTCTATCATCATGGCCAGTTTTATGTTAAATACTGATGTATTCCTTCCCATGACATACATCTGCTTACATGACTTTAATCCACTTACATGACCTACATAGGTTTACATGACATACATCTGCTTACATGACCTACATGTGCTTACATGACTTATGTCCATCTACACAACATACATCTGTTTACACCCAACAGAAAAGCTCTAGCAAGTGCTTCATTGAATCTATTATATCATACTACTGTTTATTCTTCGCTGCTCTTTGATTTTTAAGGTGGACAACTGACTAAATTCAAATAAGTTAACTCTTTCAATGCGTTCTTCCGCCGTTCTCAAAAGCACGGACCAACGCGCTGTGCGTTGTTTCAATATCATGTTTCTTTCTTTGATATTTCTCGGTTAAACTTTTTAAGAGCTATTTTTAAATAAGACTTTTACATAGAAGAGTGGTACTTCATTGTTTACAATCGAAACCAAGGCTTATTTATTGTCAATTGAAGCATTATTTTGACGATTTTCTTCGCGTTTTTTTTTTTTTTACTGTTGCTATGCCTACCCTAGGCTCTAGTAGGTAAGTTTCCTAGACGATTAACAGTTAAAAAAGCTTTGAAATTGTTTTATAATAGTTCTTTTGACAGCGAAGATGATTTATATTTAGATGCATCGCATGATTCCGATGGTAGTAGTTTTAGAGGAATTGAGTTATAGAATTGAAGATGAGGTATGCGTACATCGTTGGGTTTGGGGAAAAATGGTTCAGCATAAAATATTTTCACATTTTATGGTCCTTTCATGTAACTTATTTTTTTTTAAACTGTATAAACTAGTGTACAAATATATAGTCCTTTTAATTACCTTTCATTTGATACTAAGTTTAGTCTTATAAACCAAAGAATAATATTTTAAATATTTAAAAAAAAAACCCAACCTCTCACACTTTTTCCGCTCTTCGAAAAAAATGTACATTTTTTGGATGAAAAAATTCTGCAGCGAAAGAGTTAACATAAAAAGTACCAACATTTTGTGCACTGCACTTTCAAATAAAACACATGTGTGCATAATTTGGTTACATCAATCAACTCCTCTCAGTGAAACACAATGATGTGTCTAACTTCCCAGTCATTTATCAATCTAAAATTAAAATGATGTGAAAAAAATGGAACCAACTTTTTCTCTCCTGTCAACGCCTTGTCAATATCACGTTTCGGCGTCTGTCCACCTTCCAAGCTGAAATAGTTTTTTTAAATTCTTAGAATTACACATATTTAAAAAAAAAAGAAAAAAATATATTATTTCACAGAACAGTTCTTTTTTTTGTGTGGCAATTTTAATCAATAGATTTCAATAGAAGTGAGTATATTGTTCTTTATTATTGTACGCCATGGATTCAGTTGAGATGGGTAAAAATATCTGAAATGTGCCCCTGATGAGAAAATCATTCACTCTTAACTCTGACGGGATGTAACAACAGCCTTACGTTTATGCCAGTAATTTTTTTATTTTTAACAAAATCAAGTTTCAAAATGAAATAAAAACTCTAAAATGATGCAATCGACAGAAATGTAACAACAGCCAATCAGTAGAAATGCCTCCACACCTCTATTTCAAGTGTCATTTACCTCGGGGGGAAATTTGGTCTAAACATTAAATTTGCTCAAAGAGTGTTAGTACCTGGTTCTACGCTTCTTGGGCAACTGCTCATAATCTCTCTGTTCTCTTTCTTCTTTTGACAAGTTTTTGTAGTTGGACGTCAAGTTAAATATAGGGCGTGACCACTCATCTGCAAGAAGAAGGCATTTGTTTACACCATGGCGACAGTCTTTCAAAACTACATAGCTCTTATAATCTAGTACTACATTAAGTCAAATAAAGAAAAGATAACTGCATTATTTAGAAAAGAATGTTTACAATCAACAAAAATATTCAACGGATGTTAACTAGGATCATATAAAAGCAACTTTCAGAGTTTACTATTGTCACGGCTTTAATTAATTTCATTGAAATAATGTATTAATTATTATTATTTCATGAGAGGAGTATGAACTAGGCTCAAAGACTTACTACAAGACAAGAATAACCGTTAACATAAAGTTTTCAAATCCAATATTAAAAAGGAAATAATAATAATAAAAATACGAATAAAAATATAACACCCTCATTCAATGTTTCAAGAAAAAACAAAAACAAAAAAACCCCCCACAAAATTATTAAAGAGACGTACTGATCAATTTCCCGGCGATGACTTTGTTTTCTTTGATTTCCTTGGGATGTTTGTACAGGTACATGATGGCTTTGCCGATGCCGCTAGACTTGAGCATGTCACCATGTATGGATGGAAACTGTAAACAATTTTCTTAAAAATTAATTTTAATTTTAGCAACTCAAATTTAATTCCGAGTACGACTTGAAGCGTAGGATTCTAGCACCTTGAAAACAATTCAAGATTAATTTTGTATTCTTCCACTCACAGATTTCTGTTGACACTAGGACGTACCTTAGTACTACGACCCTATTACATAAATATAAAGATTTTACATTTAAAAATAATACATAATAGGACGCAAGCAATGGCTGGAATAAACTAGAATCCGCTGAATTAAAATACTCAAGACAAAAAATTAATTTTCCTTTTAAATTGTAATATTTACTGCTATTTTTTCTATATATTTTATTTTTGTGTAAAGCTGACGAAGAAAACCTAAACTAGGGCTGTCAAACTGTCAAAAGTGTGTCTCCACTGTAGAAAAAACGAAACTGCCAAAATATAATGTACCAGTGCCTGCCAGTGTTAGCTGTCAATGTCAACTGACAAATGTACTAAAAACTACAAAATCGCTTTGGTGATGCCATCACATTATAAGAGCCATGTGGGACTTGTCCGGACTAAACAGATTTCTTTGTTTTTGCAATCATCTCACTGAGCAGTTTGTTACAAAATTCTTTGAACATTTCCTTTCCAGTTTATTTTCATGTACACTCATGCATTCCTAATTTATCTTTTAAAAACATACTTTCATCATGAGCCTTTCTTTCTATACTTATCCTAGTCGCAACAATTTAAAAAAAATTCTTTTAATAAATAACTTAGGAATCCATTTCATAACTTTATTCCAATTCAGTTTTTTTAATACATTTCATAACTTTTCCCCCAGCCAGCTTAAATTACTATAATTCATAATTTTATCCCTACCCAATTTTATTCACAACATTTCATAACTTTAACATCAACCCGCTTTATTTACTACAATTCATAATTTTATACCTAACCAGTTTTCTTTATCACAAAAATTCATAACTTTATCCCTAACCAGTTTTGATTTCTTTATCACAAAAGTTCATAACTTTATCCCTAACCAGTTTTGATTTCTTTATCACAAAAGTTCATAACTTTATCCCTAACCAGTTTTGATTTCTTTATCACAAAAGTTCATAACTTTATCCCTAACCAGTTTTGATTTCTTTATCACAAAAGTTCATAACTTTATCCCTAACCAGTTTTGATTTCTTTATCACAAAAGTTCATAACTTTATCCCTAACCAGTTATGATTTCTTTATAAAAAAAGTTCATAACTTTATCCCTAACCAGTTTTGATTTCTTTATCACAAAAGTTCATAACTTTATCCCTGACCAGTTTTCTTTACCAAAAAATTCATAACTTATCCCTAACCAGTTTTGATTTCTTTATCACAAAAGTTCATAACTTTATCCCTGACCAGTTTTCTTTACCAAAAAATTCATAACTTTATCCCTAACCAGTTTTCTTCACAAAAATTCCATAACTAGATTTGCTTCTGATTATAAGGCTCAAATTTTCTTCTTTATTTAGAAATAAATTTCAAAAAGCTAATGCAGAATGTGGTTAATTTTCTGCTTTTTAAAAATAATTTTGTTCTATCTAATTTTATGCTTTAATATGTCAAATGGTTTCTTCCCCATTTGTCTAACATTTTTGAGTTATGTTTTTAACTTAAAAATATTTTCTTTAAACTTTCTCACATTGCAGCTAAATTTAAATAATGTAGAAAATGAATCACCTCAAGAAATCTTAAAAGTGCTGCCCATACAGATTTTACAAAATTGTACAGGACACGGCCATTTAAGTGTTAAAAAATGTTAACAAGTTATGAAAGACAAGACTAAACTTACCTGCTGTAATATACGTAAAAAATGTTCACGAATACTGAGATGTGGTAAACTTTTGTCAGGAAGAGGAGCCAGCCATTCCTAGGGACAAGAATGAATGAACATACTTTAAAAGCCACTGACAGTGAGAGGAAGATTCGAGTAATAAAATTAACATTTGCAATAAAGTGATGAAATGGTGAAATTTAAAATAAAATTATATACTAGATATATACACGTACATCTTACTATATATATATATATATATATATATATATATATATATATATATATATATATTATATATATAGTGTGTAAAAAAAAAGAACACAATATTTATTTTTTTAAAATTACTAAACACATTTTAATTCTAAAACAAAGTTAAATTCTTTAAAACTACATTTTGTGTTTGAAGTTTCCACAATTAGCTTCAATGCAAGCTTCAAGACGTGCTCTCCATTGACCAATCATTATCAAGAGGGTTTTCTTTCTTTCAGGAATAGAGTTTTTAAAGGTGCTATGAACACTTCCTAAGTGCTATGATCACTTCATTTAGTTCCATGAACACTTCATTCAGTGCTATTGTTCATTTAGTGCTATTGTACTTCATTGCATGCTATGAACACTTCATTTCATGCTATGAACACTTCATTTCATACTATGAACACTTCATTTCATACTATGAACACTTCATTTCGTGCTATGAGCACTTCCTTTAGTTTATCCACCCCATGAATACCCACCCTATCCATGTGTACACTCATCTTTTCACTTAACACACCGCTCCATTGCTTAACAAGGAATCAAAGGTTTGGAGATTTTTTTAACCCTTTACGGGGCAGAGCGGCCGAAAACGTCTTAACCACTTAATGGCCAAAACGCCCAAAAGCGTCCGTGACGACCTAGTGTTGTTTTCTCTTGACCTCCGAGGCTTTGCGAAACTTCCTATTGTTTACATCCGGTTTTTCCGATAGCTAAATAGAGTAGGTGCCAGTTACAAGTATTTAATCCTTTTTTTTTTTTAGTTTTAGGGGTTTAAAATTTTTTTTTTTCGAAATGGATTTTGCCGATTATTTGACGATTATTCAAGTGATAGCGGAAATTTCGCTGGATTCAATTAAAGTGACATTCAAGTGCACGAATTGACTGTAAATTGGAACTAGATGTTTATATTATTAGTAATATTAATGAAATCAGTGTTAGTAAGCAGTGTTGAATTTTACAAACTTCGATTTTGTGGCAGTGTTTGTAAATAGTAAATACATGACTCACAATCACAAATAATATGTTGTTTTTGCAAATATTTGTGTTCATATGAGGATTAATGGCAACATGTGAGTACACTCATCAACCTGCATTCATTTTCCTTGATTTTGATTTTTTTATTTCACACAAATCTGTTGACTAAAACCTTAGATTTGTTTTTTTTTGTAACGTAACCCGTAAATCTTACTAAAAAACGGAAAAGTGGTGCCCGTTCAGGACATGCAAGAGGAAGTACCTCTGCCCCGTAAAGGGTTAAATATCTCACGTCATTGTAGCAGATAATATCAACAGTTCAATTAGGTTAACATGGTAAGGAAGAAAAAGGGAACTCACCGTCATGGCACTTAGGATGCCAGACTCCAGGAATATCCCGTGGAGGTCTGATTTCTTGAGTTGGTTGACGACGTAAGGCAGCATCTTGATCTTTTTGACGGAAACTTCCTTCTTTTGATTTAGTTCTCTGTCATGCTGTCAAACAAAAAGTGGATTGTTTTGAAAATGAGCTCGTCATTGAGAGATTCAAGGGAAAAATTTTCTTTGAAAAGCATTGCACTGAGAGAACTGAAACAAATTAAATAGTCAAAGTGCGTTTGATGAATAGAAAAATAGAGCATATTTTGCAGCTAAATTAAATGGATAAAATCTATTGTTATTATTTCAACACTTTAGAACCGTGAAGAAGTTCATAAAGCAATATATAAACAAAGATTATATTTGGTTTAATCCTGCTTTAATTTACTTTTTATAAGATTAGCTAACTTGTATAAATTTAATTTATATATATATATATATATATATATATATATATATATAAATATATATATATATATATATATAAATGTTTCTTGTTGTACTAAAGAAGACATTTGCCAAAAATATATATATAATATATATATATATATATATATATATATATATATATATATAAATATATATATATATATATATATGAATGTTTCTTGTTGTACTGAAGAAGGCATTTGCCAAAACGATTACATTTTTATTCTGTGTAATCATAATTATTAAAGCTGAACCTACATTGTTTAATGTACACAAATTGTTTGCGTCTAATTGATCTACGCGAAAGCTGCACCGCCGTCCAACATTCTTACAATTAGTTGACTAGTGTTAAAAGCGGGTGTTTTAAAATTGAACGTTAGACCTACATTGGCAGCTTCTTTCATCTTGACTATGAGATCTGCAATCAGGTCGTCATTGTCGTTGATCAGATCGACATCCTTTCTTTTTCTCCTTTGCCTCTGCATCTCTTCCTTCTTCTTGGCCATCATCAGATCAAAGTCAGAAACAAACATCCTGTAATGACAAAGAAAGAACTCTTCATTTCAATGAATCAAAATGTGTATGTTTGTGTGTATGTTTGCGTGCTTTAAATTCTTAAACCTCATATTGTCAGTAAGTTGGTTTTTGAGTAATTTGAAAATAATTTAAAAATACATTTTGACTTGCTATAAAAATGTCCAACAAGCTATGTCTGCCAAGCATCACATGATCACAACTCAGCCGATGAAAAAACCCCCCCCCCCCCGCATGATAGCACTCGGTGTGCCCTTATCGTATTTTCAACATTTGGGCAAGCACATACAGGTGACTAGTGAGCACTAAGAGCCATTTGTGTGGTGTGTCCAAGTGTAGTGCCTGCAGTGCAGCAGTCCTCCCGACACTGCTCTACGGATGTGAAACGTGGACAGTCTACCAGTGTCACGACAAGAAATTGAATCATTTTCACACAACCTGCACTGCAGCAACTATCCCCTGCCCGCGGTGCCAGAAATTATTCCTAGCACGGATCGGTCTAGCAAGCCACCTACAAGCTCACCATAACACACCCTCTCCCTAACCGGATGACTCGATGGTCCTTGTCAACTTCGACGGACGAATAACAACAACAGTGACCGCTGGAAACTGCACTGCAACAATGACCTTTAAACTACAAGTGCTGTGGATCATACATTTCCGTAATGAAGTATGATCGCAATCCAAGGCTGCACTGCATTGCTACAGATTCAAATGACGAGTTTCAGGTGCTGCTGGGAATTTTCTTTAGGTTTAATCAGCCGGCACTCACCCGTCACCACTTTTCCTTGCCTCATCCATGTTCTCATCGTCTGATCCGTCGCCATCTGGAGCTGGTTCATCCCCGCCCTCGTCTGGTAATCCAGATGCTCCTTGGTCATCTTCATCATCAGATTTTATTCCTGAGATGGTAAAGCGACAAGATTAAAGTCAGCTGAAAAGCTTATTTTTCTATAAATTAATGTCATGATTATGTTCGCTAGTATTTTTATGTGAAGCACGGTGAGCCCAGCCCTAGGCTGGGGTACGCGCTATATAAGACCACTGAAATAATAATAATAATAATATAATAAATTTGTGACTAACCGGTCTTCAGAACAGAACATTTCAAATATTTTGAGTGCATTAAAACAAGGTCTTTAAAAATAAATAAATCTTAAAATAGAAGAACAAGGTATTTGGAAGCTTGAAAAAGAAAGACAGCTAACAGCCTTCCTCAGCAGAAAGGTCAAATGAAGATATAACAAGAAATACAGGTGTTTGCCATATTCATGTATATTCTCATCAGCAGACCTTATTACTCTTACAATTTTGGCGTGCAATGTACGATTTTTAGGTGTATCCATTATATACACTGTGGTTTTTTTTTACTTTTAAGATAATTTATTGAACGATTTTGTGATGATATTGTACGATTTTAAGAGTGGGGGTAAACAGGTCTGCATCAGCAATAAAGATAAAAAAACTTATATAATTTAAAGGAGGCCTTGAGGTTCTGAGACAGACATACAAGAGTTAAAATATTTTTAGTTACACCTCACTGGCAAACTTTGATGGCATTGTGACATGGTAGAGTGAAAGACAAAACAAAGGCAATAGATGGCATTGTGACCTGGTAGAGTTAAAGACAAAACAAAGGCAATAGATGTCATTGTGACCTGGCAGAGTTAAAGACAAAAGATGGCATTGTGCCATGGTAGAGTTAAAGACAAAACAAAGGCAATAGATGGCATTGTGACCTGGTAGAGTTAAAGACAAAACAAAGGCAATAGATGTCATTGTGACCTGGCAGAGTTAAAGACAAAAGATGGCATTGTGCCATGGTAGAGTTAAAGACAAAACAAAGGCAATAGATGTCATTGTGACCTGGCAGAGTTAAAGACAAAAGATGGCATTGTGCCATGGTAGAGTTAAAGACAAAACAAAGGCAATAGATGGCATTGTGCCATGGTAGAGTTAAAGACAAAAGTTTAATAATGAAAACACTGAGCTTTAATTTACCAGATTTTTTCTTCTTATCCTTCTTGGGCACCTCGCTGGCATCAAAGCCCTCAAACTCTTCATCCTCATCGCTTGAGCCAAAGATGTCCGCAATCAACTCATCTTTCCTGGAAAATCAAACCAGGAAATTAGTGGGGGGGTTTTCTTTCTAGGCAATTTAGGACTAGAAATTATCCAAGAATATTTTTTCCTGTTTGGTATTTCATCATTATACCCCGCCCCGCTTTTAAGTGAGTAAAATGGAAGACTAAAATAACATACACAAAAAAAAAAAACCCTTATAAGCCATCGTTTTCACAAAACAGGACAACCAGTAATTATATGTAAACTATAAAAACAATTGGTCATTTTCAAGAATTTGAATACAGTATTTGGTCCAACTTACTCTTTTTCTCCCATTTGAATACAGTATTTGGACCAACTTACTCTTTTTCTCCCATTTGAATACAGTATTTGGTCCAACTTACTCTTTTTCTCCCATTTGAATACAGTATTTGGTCCAACTTACTCTTTTTCTCCCATTTGAATACAGTATTTGGTCCAACTTACTCTTTTTCTCCCATTTGAATACAGTATTTGGTCCAACTTACTCTTTTTCTCCCATTTGAATACAGTATTTGGTCCAACTTACTCTTTTTCTCCCATTTGAATACAGTATTTGGTCCAACTTACTCTTTTTCTCCCATTTGAATACAGTATTTGGTCCAACTTACTCTTTTTCTCCCATTTGAATACAGTATTTGGTCCAACTTACTCTTTTTCTCCCATTTGAATACAGTATTTGGTCCAACTTACTCTTTTTCTCCCATTTGAATACAGTATTTGGTCCAACTTACTCTTTTTCTCCCTCATCGCCACTGCCCTTTCCTAAGAAGAATTAAAAAAGAAAAGATATGAATGTAGGAATAACTTTTATTTTTTTCTCAGTTGACACATATTGCACCATGACAATGTGATTCCCTTTAGAGCAGAGGTTCTCAACCTTCCCAATGCCACAACCCTTTAGGGGCTGAGCAGTGTCTTGACATTTAAATCATTAAAATGGACATCTAACCAATGTTTATCTTTAGGAACCAAATAACACCCCACAAGTGTTTCATACAGTTCTGGCAGTTTAGAATGGTGTAACCCCCAACACCAGCAGATTTAGAAAAATAACTGGCCAGAGACAAGGGGATGGTCTCTGAATTGCAACTTTCCAATCAAGATGTTATTAATTTACTACATTTTTTTTATTTGAACAACAAAAAAAAAAAATAACACTCAAACTTAAAAATGATTACCTCCTTCATCCTCATCATCGGACTGGATTTTTCTTGATCTTTTTCTTGGACTGAAAATAGAAATGTTTTGTAAATCCAAAAACCAGATTATTCACAACAAGAATAAAAACTAAATCTTCACGTGTAAGTGTAAGCAATCAACGACTGTGAACGTAGCCAATCGGCAGAGCTAAAGTAAAGTGTGAACAAGAGTCGTCTTAGAAGAAATAACTAACTTAAGCTATGAGGTTAGGACAGGATGACCTAAAGTCTACAAACTTACATTTCATCATCACTCCCCACAGGGCTCACTGGGGGGGACTTTGGACTTCCTGTTGAATGAAAAAATATTAAAAATACAGTGGAAAAGAAAGGGAAAATGTTTGGCGACCTGTATGTGACAAACGAATTATTAGTATATATAAATGTTTGGTGAACTGGATGTGACAAATAATTATATTAGATAATAATAATTGGCAATAAAAAGCCCCTTGCTTATTATAATCAAAGCTTCTTTAAAAAACGCTGATCTCTCTTTATAATAAATGAAAATAACAAAAAGGTATCAATCTCTCTTTATAATAAATGAAAATAACAAAAAGGTATCTCACCGTAAGTCTTTAAATTCATTGCCCACTTTAACTAACATGATCAATATTTTAGATAAAGAAAGTATTAGCAATTACAAAATAAAATCAAACCTGATCTACTGCGGCTGCCCCTTCCAGAACCGGATCTTCCTGAACGGACTGATTTTGGGCTTCCTGAAATTTTAAGTCATAAAATAACATTAAAAAAAAAAAAAAAACAAATGTAGGGTCAAACTTTGAATGATATTTTGTTACGTAAAAAATTAAAATTGATAAAACAAAGATTTAAACAATAATTTCAGCTTGAGGACAGTTTACTTGCGATGATTTTCATGGTGAGCTTCATCTATATTCCAAATAATTCTGCTTCAGTAAATGAATTTAAACAAAACAGAGCAAATAGGGCTACCAAACATATTTACTCAAAAGATGAAATAGAAGAGCAAAATGACAAGGGAATACGCGTTACCTTGGTTGTGTCAAACGGGTTCTGAGATATCCGATTTTAACATATCATATTTCCATCTGATACACACTCCACACACACACCAACGAGCTTGACTTAAATAACATAATTAATTTACCTGATCTTGACCTGCTACGAGATCTGCTGCGGGCACTGTTAGCAGAACCTGACCTGCTGCGAGATCTACTTTTGGCGCTGTTTGCTGAACGGGATCTGCTCCTTGATCTGCTTTGTGATCTTTTTGGCGATCCTGATCTACTGCGTGACCTATTTGCAGAGCCTGATCTACTCCGTGACCTATTTGGAGATCCTGATCTACTCCGTGACCTATTTGGAGATCCAGATCTGCTCCGGGACCTATTTGGAGATCCCGATCTACTGCGCGACCTGTTTGCAGAGCCCGATCTACTGCGTGATCTGTTTGGCGATCCCGATCTACTTCTTGACTTTTTCGGAGACCCAGATCTACTTCGTGACCTTTGAGGAGATCCTGATCTGCTGCGTGACCTATTACCAGATCCAGATCTACTACGGGATCTATTTCGGGATCCTGACCTGCTGCGGGATCTGCTTCTAGCTTTTGCTGTTGGAGAAGCCACGGGGCTGGCATCCCTGGAGAATGGGCTGGGAGACCGTTGGTTATCTTTTCTGACAGAAGAACTACCTGCAGATAGTGAAAGAGATAAAACTGTTTTTAGAATCCAATGATCAATGATCATCTATATCTGGCTAGATAAATGAATTACAGTTGTCTGAATTTTTTTAAAAAAATATTTTTTTTAGAGATTTTTAAAAAGCCTGTTTAATTCAGGAAATTAGAAGATTCTTATATTTAATTATTTTAATTTGACAATCCCATAACAATTGTTTAAAAAAAAAAAATATATCATCATTTTTAAATGTGTAAAACAGTTTATTATTCAAATATAAAAATTGACCTTCAGCAGGAGAAGCTGGGGCACTTGCTCCGCTGTATTCTGGTGATCTAGGATCACCGCCTGCAGGTGATTGTGGGCCACTACCTGCAGGAGAAGCAGGTCCGCTTCCAGCAGGAGAGGCAGGTCCGCTTCCAGCAGGAGACGCAGGCCCACTACCTGCAGGTGAAGCGGGACCACTGCCTGCAGGTGAAGCGGGACCACTGCCTGCAGGTGAAGCGGGACCACTGCCTGCAGGAGAAGCAGGTCCACTGCCTGCAGGTGATGCAGGACCACTTCCTGCAGGTGAAGCAGGTCCACTGCCTGCAGGTGAAGCAGGTCCACTTCCTGGAGGTGAAGCAGGACCGCTGCCTTCTGGAGATGCAGGTCCACTACCAGCTGGGGAGTTTGGTCCACTATGTGGGGGTGAATGTGGTCCTTTGCTACCGGGAGAACCAGGGTTGCTACCTCCTCCACTTTTGTTTGACATTGGACTTGCTGATCTGCTTCGGCCAGGAGAGGGTGACCTGCATAAAAGACCAATAGTGAATATTCATATATTTTGAATTAATTGCTCCATTTAAAAATATATATATATTTAAATGAGGAATTCACTCATTTATGAAGATTCATAATACACTCATCTTCTACCTCATTTGAGGTGCAGCATTCTCATTCATTCATGCTATTATTACCTGCTACCTCCTGGGCTTCTGCTGTGTGCAGGTGACCCATCCCTGCTAACTGGGGGACTGTGAGGAGGTGAGCCATTCAAGCTGCCAGGGCTTGCTGACCGCACACTTTTTGCTGACCTTTCACTCCCTGCTGGTGACACAGATCTGCTCCTGTCTTGTTCCATTTCCTCTTCTTGGTGGACTACTGAGTTCTCTTCATCATCCTTTATAAGGCACATAACATGTTCAGAATATGGCTAACATCTAATTTTGCATATATTTTAGAAATTTATGTAAGTTACTATAGACAATAGAAATTAATTAAATCGTTCAGCAGTTGAAAAATTTCACAAAGATATAACTACATGGCAAATTGTCTCAAATGAATAATTATCTAATTTATAAATACCAAATGGTCAGATTCAACCAAGATTTGTATTTATAAATTAAATTTAACAAATAAAATCTCATTAAAGAAGAGTACCTCTTGCTGGGAGCCTGATGCATCATGACCACCATCATCGTCTATCATGGTATTGTGCTCATCGCCTGATAAATTCATTATGAAAATGTAGATGAATTATCTATATGTTGTAGTATGGAGAAGACTGCTTTCATGTTGAAGCAATATCAAACAATTAATGCAGACCAGGAGAAAAAATAAACAATGAACGTTTCGACTAAAAAAAGTCTTCAACAGCTGTATGGCCTGATAATATTAATTAATTAGACCTAGGGAGGCCTGGGCTAAGAATATTACAAACTAATACATAGTACTACTTAAAGTAGGCCTAAATTTAACTTCACTCTACAGCCCTCTACTCTCTCAAATACTTTATTGAGCATAAATTATAACTTTAGTATCCTAGACCTAGCTCTATATAATAATAGAGACTTGGGCGATCCTCTGAAGTCCGGTCCCAAATTATTTTGTGTGAAGAAAATTGCAATACACTGTCACAGTCACAGTGTTTATTGTTAGGAAACAGCAGAAATGTCAGTCATAGCTTTTGCAAATAACTGTCACTTTACAAAGCAGTCAGTAAATACTAAATATTGTAATTGGCGCATAGCTCTTGCAAATAGCAGCCGAAAACGTTCTGCTTCTGACTGCTGCGCCAATGAAGGGCCCCCAAGTAGCTGGCAAACAGACCGCAACTAGTATCAATCTGATAGGGGCGTTTACGTTTCGCTTGCATCAAAAGTGGTTCAATATATTGTTTCTGTGTGAATGTCCTGGTCTACTAGATCAACTAATTCACGCACGTGTACGATGACAGCATGAGCATAAATCCCATTGTTGAGCTGACCGACATTTTGATATCCTCGCCAAGCGTCCGTGACGATAGCTGTCCCTGGTAACACAGGGTTAGTGATAATGCCCTCGAGTGTTTCTAGATCTTGACGGTCAACAACCTTGACCCAACATCATCCACTACGACAAACATGAATTTTAAAACAAAATGATACCTAAGACTTTTAAGTAAGGAGCAATCATTGGAAATAATTTGGGACCGGACTTCGGAGGATTGCAGAGACTTGTATCTGAAACACTTCAGAAATACTAACAAAGATATCATGACCCTGAGTCTCAGTATGAGTAAGTCTGACTAAAATATGAGTAGAAGAAGTTGTAGGCCCTAACTTAGTTGAATTAGCATTCTCACACTCACATGATTTGAATTTGAACTTTACTAGTACTACTTAACATTACTTTAGTTTTAGGCACTTTGGTAAAGTAAGGGAAACTACTTCAAAGAATATTTAAAATGGGATTCAGCTTAAATGAATTTGAGTTTATAATTTTAGGATGCTGACATTGTTTTTTCATGGATGAAAGGTTCAAACACCAAGTTCACAACTTATTGACATATATATATATATATATATATATATATATATATATATATTATATTTCATGAGTATAATTGTCATAATGATATGAATTTTTAATCAAGTGATCTTTGTACTGTGTAGATTATTTATTTGGCCAAGTAATATTATATTAGCATAGATTTCTAAATGTCTTATTTTTTTAGAAACTCGCTATCGAGATTAGGTTATCGTCCGTATGTATGTGTTGACCTGAGATACTAAATAACTTTTAAAGGCAGTGTTTTAATTTATTAGAAGAAATCAAAGCCGAAATGCATTAAACCCTATAACGACATCTGTTTTGTATGTTACTTACGGGCACAATCATCTTCCGAGTCCATCGATAACGTAAAAACGTCAAGTCGACAATCAACAACAGTATGTGTATAATTGTGAACTGAACGTGTAGCTCTTTTTTTACCGAGATACATGTTTGCTATGAGAAAGCAAATAAAAATCAAGACCGATTTTAATTTAAAGAGAAAAATAGAATAGTAACTGGTGCTTTTTTTAAAAAGAATTAATAATTTTGAAAATTGTATATTGCCAAACACTTAGCTCTTCTCTTAAAATTCTTGAATGTTTAAAAACTACTTTGCATTAGAAATGGCTTGATTATTATTACGTCAGGGGCCAGGTCGGGACTAAAAAGTAAGAAAATATAAAAAAACGAAGTGGCTATTCGGACCCGGCAACCAGAAGTGAGAGGTTGGGATTAAATAATGTTTAAAATATTATTGTTGCGTTTGTAAGATTAAATTTGGTATCGACTGAAAGATAATTGAATGGACTATATGTTTGTAAACTTAATTCTTCAGTTTAACTAAAATAAACTACCACAAATGACATCCGAATAGCATTTAGTCAAAATGGATCCGGCACGCATCGCCGCTATTCGGACTTTTGGTGACCTCCCCCCCCCCCCCCCCAATTTAATTATTGGTTTTTTAAAAAACCCCCCCCCCCCCCAAAAAAATGAATTATAATATAAATAAATTTATAAATACTTTTTGCTTTGTGGTGATGCATTTTTAATAACAGAAAATTGCAGGGAAAACATTTTATTCCATCTTTAACTTGTTAAGCAACAAGTTTAACAGTTTTTACACTTAAATGTTATACTGCAGAATCAACTAAAAGGTTGTTAAAGACTAAATCACATTGTTTGTGGAAGTAAAAATATGATTATTGTCAGTATAGCTGACAATTGTAGTAGGCCCTATTAGTTTCCAGCTGTTATTATCTTCTCAGGGAGTAGCCAGGTAATGAGTCATTGCTCTATCGCAGTGATTCCCAAAATGGTCTATATCGACCCCCCAGGGGTCAATGACAACTTGCAAGGGGTCCATGTCAGCGAACAAAAAAAAATTGGGGGGTCCATGAAATGAAAATGGGGGGTCAACGATAGTGGATCTCATTTAAGCAGGTCGTGACTTCTATTTTGACATTCCATGAATGTAATAATCGACATCCTGATAAACAGATTAGTACCTTATGTACTTACATAATATTACCTTATAATATAAAGACATTATATCTTCATACATAAATTATAAAAGTACCTATGAAGTAAAAATTTAAAAAACATAAATGTTCATGAAACACGTTTCATATTAAAATCATTAAAGAATCATATTAAAATTTATGTTAATGGAGATATTTTTGATAAATGAAACTGTTTAAGAATTATTATAAACTACCAATTTCCCACAGCTCCGCCTGCGTACGTTTTTATTTTCTCTGCATGTAAGGGTTTTTTTTTGTAAAAAAAAAAAAAAAAAAAAAAAAAATTTTTT